ATAGGTAACTTTCTCTGTCTTTTCCTTAACACAGAAGGTTGTGCCTGCCTGAGACTGGGGATTCCGCGGAGGCGGAGTAGGAGGTTCTCTGTGTCGGTTTTCGACTTGGCTTTGTTTTGCCTCGAACTCGTGAGGAGGATCGTTTTCTCGGTCCTCATCGTTTTTTCCCCCATCATTCAGATTTGGAGTATTTGGGTCGAATAATTCTTGTTGAGATGGTGGTCCCGCTGGGATAAGATGTTGCAGGGTCTCTGCATTTTGCTGGATCAACTGGTCCATACCCTGATTCAGAGTTTGGACCTGTAGTTTTAACGCTGCAAGCCGTTCTTGGTCATTCGGGACATCTGGGTGTTCACCCAACCCTTCTCTTTGACTGGATCCCTGCAACGATGTTTCTTCTCCAGTTATCATATCGGACCGCAAGTTATGATACCCCTCGTTTCTAGAGCCACGGGTGATCAAATCCTAGCACAGATCCGAGGGATACCAACTGTGAATATGTAAACAAGTAAGAATAAAAACTGATTTAAGAATAAAATAATAATTCGCTTAAAGAAATCTAAAATGAAAATCCTCAAACCTTAAATAATAAATTAATATAATTAAAATCCGTACAACTCGGGAATCCACCTAGTGGACCCCTATCCCAAATCCTTAAAAAAATTTACAGAATTAAAAATCCAAAACCAAAATAGAAAGGAAGTCCTATGTAAGCGGAAGAGTGAGTGTCTGTATCTGCATCAACACGATCAAGCTCTAAGCCTGGTATTGACGAACACCTGAAAAATAAGAGTGGGTCAGGCCCACATGCAAGTTCCATACTACTACAATCCATACATAAACCCGATACGCAGATACATCCTAGATAGCTCGGCAATAGCTAAAATAGTCCATATAGATATAGATACACACTATAGGACGCTCACTAGTCCAATAGGCCTGTCTCAGCCTGAGTAGAGATACCATGCAAATCGCACATACCGTGGTCATGTGTATCTAGACCTACCAGGGAACAACACCTGTGTCCAATTATCCATCCTAGGCGATATACGCACCCTAACCATGGTCCTGAGACTCAAGCTCATACCATGGCACCATAATGATATGTATATAAAGTCCGTATACTCCTAATACAAAATATCATCCCTCTTCTATAGTGGTCTGATATAAGTATAACAATCCATCCAGAAACCAAAGTAGGTCATTCAATTCATAATTGATATGACACAAATATAAGTGGAACTGAACCTTTATGGTAAATTCACACCTCAATCCAGAATAGGTAGGTTATAGTGTTTGAACTAATCTATACCTAGTATGCCACCGTCCCATACCGGTGCATACCATCCTCCATCCAATATAGTTGACAAATTAATAATAAATATTCATCAACCATACTCCAAAATAAACATAAATACAATTTATTATATGTATGACCAAATTATGCATCCAGTATATGATTATAATTATAAAACTTCCATATAAATTGTTAAAGCATTGATAGACAATTTAAACCATCCATATCCAACCAATTGACAAAACAGAAATTTCAATAGTTCATCAATTAACACCCACACCATGGTATAATGACTATCAGAAATATGAGCTGAGCACATTATATTAGACATCCCTAACCATACTCTCATACTAGTTCATTTAAATTATTAAAACAAAGACTAGTAATGAAAATCCTCCTTAATCCCTGACGGCATGAAAATTATTGTTTCATTACATGACGTCCTTTTTAATCCTCCATGTTAAAACCTGTGCTTGACATAATATGTCAACTAAGAAGTCTCACAACACATTATATACAACCCCAATGGTATTTTTTACTTACTAAAATAAACTGGTTAAAACAAACCGGCAAATAAAACTCCTCCACTCCTGACAGCATGCAACAATGTATTTAAATTACATGACGTCCACAACCACAACCCAATGAACCCTCATGGAACTTAAATATATTACAAATATCTTTGGTACAACATCCCTAAAATATCTTTCAATTCAGTCCATTCAATTGGTTAACCAAACTAGAAATTTAAGACTTTCTTCTTCCTGGACAACATGCACATTAATTTTTTTTTTTTTTAAATTCATGATGTCCATTTATATTAACACACTAGCATATACTAACTATTTTATGGTTTTAATAGGTTAATTTTAAACATCTAAAACCCCACGCCACTTTCCATTAATTTCATTTAAGCCCCTGAAATCAGAAAAACCACAAAAACCCACGTACTGGGCATTTAGAAAATTTGAGCCGCCTCCAATTTTAAGTTGAGTTGGCTCCAATTTTAAGTTGAACCGCCTCAACTCTTTGTGGAGCCGGCTCCACTTCAATGGAGCCACCTCCATTGAAGTGTGGAGCCGCCTCCACTTCCCCAGCCTCCGTTTTTCACTCTCTGCTTCCTCTGTTCTTCGTCTTCGCTTCCGGCGGAAATTCCAATTGTCTGTTCTAAGTTTCTTAAGAATTTTCAAGGTTCAATTTAAGCCCAAATACTCCTAGAAACTTCTCCAATTCCATTGTGAATTAATTGACAAAAATCTAAACTGAAAGCAAAAACAGTTTATGTTTCTCTGTTTGTCTTCCTTGATTCCGGTAAAGTTCCATCCTCTATTCCAAAAGTTTTCTTAAAGTTCCTAAGGTGCAAGATAAGTCCCAACAGTCTTAGAAACTCCTTACATTCCTTTCTGAATTAATTTATTAGAGTTTAAAACATAATCCAAACAGTTTATGGAAAGAAAGCAAACCTCAGTTATTTATACGTTAATCAGTTTACAGTCCCGCAAATATGCATTAAACACCAGTTTAAAAAATTTAATTAATTCCTGGAGACTATATAGAATGCACAGAACACAAGTTTACAGGAAGGAGATAGAATGAAACTTACCTTCGAGATTTTTGAATTAAAAATCTTTACACCGTCTTCCTAGATTTTTCGGCGATCACACACTGTTCTAACTTCTCTGTTTCCTCCTTGGTTCCTCACACGAACAACACTCCTCCTATCCTTCCTTGGTTCAACCCATAGTCCATGGCTGAAATCCCATTTGGTGGTTCTCTTAGTCTCAAACTCCCCTCTGTTTTTCCCTCAGACATCATTACATGCCTCTGTATCTCTCTATCTCACAATACGTGAATAGGGTTTGGTTTTTTTCCTCACCCTAGCAAACGTAAAAGATTATATATATATAAGTACTTACTAAGACCTAATTTTTTAATTCCCAGCTAACTATAAGCCGGCGACCTAATTATACAAAAATAATAAAACCCTACGACCCAAACAACTTATAAAAGCTACCAAATATAAACTACCAAAGACACGTCAATTAAAATCAATAAATCAAATAAGTAAATTTAATCATAATTAAACAATTAAATAAAACCAACCAATAAATAATTACAATTAACCAATTAAATAAAACAAATACATAAAGTCAATTAACCAATTAAATTAAAATAAATTCCCACTAAATCAACTAAGCAAATAAACCACATAAGTCACATAATTAAATCAAAATGCTATAAAAACAAAATTAAATTTCCTTTTTATCCTTTTGAAAACTAGGGGTATTACACAAGTGCATATACCTAACCGAGTAATTTTATTGATTTAAGGGAATCATCGTTCCCACAGATGGCGCCAACTGTTTAGGGTGAAATTCACGCGGTTCGATACGGAACCGTTTTCCTGCAAAGAAAAGAGCAAAAGGTCGATGAAACTTGACGGCACCGGTGTGGTGCTTGCCAAGAGTTCTCCGACGATCAAGTCAGTCACCGGAGGTATAAAAGAAAGGCAGGGATTTAATAATCATTTTTTGTTGTACCTTTATTGACTGGTAGGATCTCATTCTTATAGCCATTTTCCCTTAGTTCATTTGCGAGATCAGAGGAGATCGTTTGTTGCCAGATTTGTCGGGATATGATTTACTCCTTTGACTTTCTCAAATTGTATCAAGGTTATCCTTATCCTGTTGAACCACGTCGTCTTTTATTATCCTAGATAAGAAATGTCATTATTCTTATCCAATGAAAATCTTTATCTTTGATAACTAAATATTATCGTTCGAAAATAGAAGATGTCTGGTGGCTGGTCAACACTTAGTTGCCTCTATTTTTAGGTCAAGGTAGGTTTATTTTTCCCTATCAATACCATTTACCTTAATTTTATAATCAGTATCAATTGATTATAAAAATGGAAAAAAAAAATAAATTTGTAGCTATCATTTTCTAAAATGATTAACTTAGTATAATAAAAGTTATTATACTCACTTTAAAAAAAATTAGTGTAAAAAAATATCTTCTTTTTCAAACAATATTCATAAAAAATTAATAAATTACGTAAATAAAAAATATATTCTTTTTAGTGCAATATATTCATAAAAATTAAGAAATTACTTAAATTGTTTCAAAATTTTGTATTTAAGATTTTTATTTAAATAATTAATTAAAAAAATTAAAGGCAAACTTATGCAAATTTAATGGAGAATATTTCATCAAATTAGTATGAAATTTTTTTATAATTTATTTTAATAGGAAAAATATATCAAGTGTAATTCAATAAGAAAGGGTATTATGGTTATTTAGTGAAAAATAAGTAAGAAAATAGGGCATTTTGCAACTAAATGTTACAATTTAGGGGGTTTTATGCACAAAACATAATTCGCCGGGGGGGTAATTTTCAAATTTAGACATAATTGAGGTGTTTATTTTTTGCACTTTACCCTAATTTCTTCATGAAAGAAGTTATTTGAAGTTGGAAAAGGTGGAATCCAACGGCTAGTCGATTAGGAAGTTTTTATTGTGACAATGATGATCGTGATCGTGATCGTGATCGTGATCTTGATCAGGCTAGAAGAGAATAGAACATCGTAGGTCTGATCTCATGCGAATTGCCTCACGATTTCAGAAGGCGACGTCGTTTTTTGTAGATTCCAAGCTCTAGTTTGTCTTGTACTATCTAAAATCTTGATCTTGACAAAAATAAATCAATTCGATTCCAAATCTCCTTTCATCTACTAACCGCTCAACTTCTAAGCTTAAACCCCGCGAACGTCTTTTCCCTTTTGTTCAATTCCATTTTCGAACGTTCTTTAATCTGCATCTCAAGAAACTCTCAGTTCTTCGATGGCGAAATCTAAACCTTACACACAGTTTATTTCCTGGTAGGTTTAATCGCAAATTGAGCAATGTTCTTTAACGACTTGTTTCAACGGAGGCTGGCGTCTCTGCTGCGGCCATGGCTTCGACAAGAACCGGAGTTGGAATTCAAGCTAGGGTTTCTTCGTTCTCATGGAATCGCCAAGAACCTCAGCTTCGATCCTTCGGTGCTCAACCAGTTACTCGATGAGTCCACTCCTTTTTCTTTCAAAGACGTCAGAATCGAGCGCTTGAGCCTTCGAGTATCATACTGGTCAGTCCCTACTTTCGCAATCGAAGTTCACGGCGTCCATGTCACTCTATCAGTAGGGTACGTCAGTAGACTCGATGCTTTCTCTCTACAATTTATTTATTCTTGGTGACTTCTGATTTTTTATTTTTGGGTTTTTGTCTTCTTTTTGAAGAGAAGTGAACGAGGATAGAGGATTGAGACCGAGACCAAAACCAACTGATACGTTTTTGGAGGATATGAAAAAGGTTCTTGCTCAAATTGATCCACAGGTATTTGTTTTGACACTCTATCTTTGATTTAATCCTATAATTTTGCACACCCGCAAACCCCGATTACCCAAAATAACGTGAACGAACGTCAACCAGGCATTGGAAGTTTGATTATGAAATAATCTCCTAAATATTCAATTACACTAATATTCTTTCTGGAAATAATTAATTATCTCCTTTTACAAAAATCATTTATCACCCTTTATAAATTTACAAAAAAAATATTCATTACATCTAAAATTATTCAACCTCAATAAATTGCATATTTCAGTAAACTTCAAACATATCGATCCACCTTATGAACTTTCATTCAAAATGATTCTTCCAACTCCGTAACCTCAGAAGTAGTGAGAGGGGTGAGCTTGGAAAATATACTATCAGTATACAAAACAATACATAGATATATAGATGACATCCCTCCTACGAACCCCATGTGGTTGTTGCACTTCGCGTAATCAGGCACTTGGCCGTTCAGCTTTCATTCTCAGCTATAATTAGGCATCCGCCATCATGGATGCCGTCACCTACCCACATACCAATCCATGTTTTTCCATCGATTCATAATTCCAAAACTGTATATATCATCTAAATATATATATTTTTGTCAAATTGAGAGCTGGTAAAAACAATTTCATAAACAAATATTTTTCATATAAACAAGATGCTTTTGAAATCAAGGTCCAACATATATCGACGTATGAACGGTGAAGCATATATTTTGAAAATATATAGCAAACATGCATGAAATTGAGAGTGAAATACCTCAAATTGGCGTCCAGAAAGTGATAGCAAAATCCCATTTTTTTCCCTCTTCTTTTTTCTTCTTCTTATTTATTTATTTAATATTATTATTATTTTTTCTGTACTGACCATATGGGCATCTTTCTCTTTTTATTCACTGCATACATGCACCTACATGTTTTTTTTTTCCCTTCATATAATATTGTATTGCTTGGACGCATGGGACAATATCTATGGTTGGTCTTATTTGGGTTTGAGTGAGAATACAAGTCTAAATCAATGGGACACTTGTTCAAATTTTAAAGAAAGATAAAGAAGAAAAATCAATAGAGAGGCATATCACAATGTGGCTTTGGACTACAAACACCGATGCCTGCTTGACAGCCAATTGCCAAATAGTTGTGAAAAACATTTGTATAGTTAAGTTGATAATTATCTAGACAAAGTTGGAGGAGGAAAGAATAATTGCTCTCTTACTAACATAAAATGTTAACATTTGCAGAAGAAAAATAAAGGGAGAAGGGAATGTTACTGAATAACTGTCAGCTGCAATTACGGTTCTGTTTGGTTACAATTTAGATGATAAACTAGAATCAAATCGATCCTAAGGGTTCCCTAAAAATTGTAACTAAATCGAACCACCTAAATGAAGTCTAATTTAATCCATCTTTTGTAATTGAGATGAAATTTCCTCTACTACTTACTGAAGACTTGAGAGTGCAACTTCTAAAACCCCCTTTTAATATAGCAATAATCTAATATGCTAATAAAAATGATAATATATTTTATGAAGGTGTTCATGTGAATGAGGGTTAAGGCTTGAAAAAATATATATATATAACCTTGATTATTGTGGTGCGAGCCTATCATAGCAAATGTTATCAACCAACCAAATGAAAGCGATTATATATACGTGTGATATCACGGTTTGGTTTGGTTATGTGATCTCTGAGATTTGACATAATAAATTATAATGATTCAGTTAATTTTGGAACTGGAACAGAACTATTGGGCTATGGAACAGAACCAAACATAGTTCAGATTGAATTGACGGCTTGACAGATCCGTGTGCACCCCCAGTTGCAATAATGCTACATGCAAAATCATATTGTCCTGATATAAGTCCTTGAACCATGACTTTTTTGCCTGCAAAGGACTTCCATTGCAACAGATGGACACTTTATAAATGCAAAATGAGTCCAACTGTTCTGTTAGTTGGCCTAAACTTAGGTATATTTGCAAATCCATCAGGTATCGAACAATAGTTCAGAGTAATCTGGTTCATGTAATGATGACTCATATCTTTTATACATTAAGAAACTCACAAACAGCGTGCTATATTCTCTAGGTCTCTAATTTTCAACTTGCTTTGCATGCACTAACATAGATTTTGTTTGATCTGCAAAGCTCAACCATAATCACTGAATTTATTATGGATTTCAGGGTAGTGCTTTGCATGACATGGTGGAGAGGATTTCGGACATTGGTCCTTCGATTTCTTGGTCAACCTCTCTCCTCAATGTTATATTTAATCGTTGCCGATTGCAGATCCATGACATTCATCTCCAAGTGCTGTTTCCGATCCTAAATAGTTCCTTTGCATGTTTGTGGGAGATAAAGGAGGTTAATGCAGAATCTCAGTATATTGAGCATGGCTGTTTCCTTAGAGGGATCATAACTTCACTCTTTTTGCCTCTGAAAGAGAGCACTCTTAGTCTTGACATGAGAGGTTTCGAGATTGGATTGAAGAGTGAAGATCGCATCAGCTATGTCTTACCTTCGTTGGACCTATTCACTTATATCAAATTGAAAGATCTTCAGCTTATAGACTTCAATTTCAGCATACCAGAATTGAGATTTTTATTTTCTCCTTTAGACCTTCATATTATCTTAGCATTTGACAGACTCTCATCCAATAAATCCAAGTGTGCTAGAAGTGGTAGGCAACTGTGGAAAATAGCTTCAAGAAGAATTTGTTCTTTGATTTCAACTCCTAGATTATCATGGCATAAATTAGTTGATGATGTTTGTCTATGGTTACGTTATGTCCATGCTTACGAGAATCTACTTTTACTAGTTGGATATCCTACGGACAACACTATAAAAAGATCTGTTGTTATGATGTCCCAGGACAACATATTTTCAAGATCTCTTAAAAGCCAATGGAATTTGATTTCTGAATTTGAGAAGCTTCTTCCTGCTGAAGCTATTGCACAGGCACGGCGAATAACCCGTTATAGAGTAGCATTGGATGTTCAGCAGGCCAAAGATCATTCCAATGAATCACTAGTCAATAGTCACTTCCAGAAGATCCTTCCAAGGCTAGCACTTATTTGGAATATAATTTGCAGCATACTCAATGCAATTATACACTCCCTTTTTCTGCAAAAGTTTTCTACTGACCATCAAAATATGGGACGCTGTGGGGTTGTTTCAGAAGATTCCTGCCTACAGCGTCGCTTCAGTCTAAGCATGGGAAAATTTTCAATCATGGTTTTTCCAGTAAATGCAGCTCAGCCTCCTGCTGGTGGGAACCTAGCCTCAGATGTTGGGATATCATATTCAGAGTTACTTTCATTTTGTCTTTCAATTGATGCATTTTTCTTAACACACACAAAAAACATATGTGAACAGTGTTATTTCTTTACATGTGGGCACTTGAAGATTTTGTCATCTGTTGTTGAAGATGGTTCATATAATAATAAAAGTTATTTGAAAGAAGTCCGGAATAAGGAAGTTGATGATGCGAAGACTATTCTATGGGGTGAGCCTGCACAGATGTTTTGTCCTGCTGATACTAGAACTAGTTCTACCAATGACACTGAAGGGATTTCTATCCCGTTTTTGGAGAAACTTCTCAGTGAAATGTGTTTAAATTGGAAAAAGTCTTGCGCAGAATTTGAAAGGAGTAAGATGCAGTATATGGAAAATCCATGGATTCTCTGTGAGATTAAAAGCTTTTTGACAGATCATGGCCTCAACAATCTAAATAGTGGGGTTTGGAAATGCAGTTTGATAGTGGGAAAATTGAACTTTGTCTTGGATTTTTTATCCCTACTATCAACTGCTCTACTTCTTAGACAGATGCAACATACCATTTGCTGGGTTAATAGCTGCAGGAGGACAAAGGTTTTTTCACCCTCTCCAACAACATCTGAGGATTCACCAGTGATTGATTCAGATGGTCAGTGCGAATCATATACTACCCGAAATGAAGTGACAATGCTTAGAATGCTTCCAGTGAAACATGTTCAAATTGGTGTTTTCATTGCTGGTCCTTGCATCCAAATATCAATGAGAAAGGAATGGTTTCATGGTGGGAATGCAGATCTGAATCCTATAGTTGCACCAGACCTTGTATTTGACGTCCAAAACATTGAATTTGCTGTTTGGCCATCTTTGAAATCTGATTTTGGATCAAGTGGGTGTTCAGGGTTGGATGATGCGGGACCAGATTGCCTTGGGTCGATGGATCCTCGAATAATTGAAATCCCCAAATCTGATAATGAAATTTATTCATGTCATGGGCTGGTTTCACTCTGTATGTACCTAAAAGTAAATGGTTTAAATGCTTATTTTGGTGACTCATCAGAAAATCAACAGAACCAAATCATTGTTCTAAATCCTACAATCGTTCGGTTATCATCATTGAGGTAGGATTTTTAATCTTCTATTTTTGTTTAATTTTATTCATCTTTGAAACTTGGTACCTCAAGATGCAGGAAATTTATTAATCTTCCTGCTGCTTATTATGGTGACTCAAATTGCCTGAACCTTTTCCTGTCAATCTTTTATCCTGGAATTGGTATCTTCCTGATGCTTATATATATATCTTTCAGATGATAATGAAAAATTATCAAATATAAGAAAATTTTCTGATCTTTATTGTTACTTCAGCCCTTTGTTTCATAGGGATTTTAACTTCTTACTTTAATGGAAATCACCAATTGGAAGCAGGTAAGGCTGCACATTTGGGTTGGGGTGGCTCAAACTTAGCCAGCGTAATCGATTTTGTGGATTGGGCTGGGCCAGGGCCAGGGCCATTAAACCCTAAGTTGAGTTTAGACTTGGGTTCATAAACATGCTACCTCAGCTCAAAGAAAACCTGTCCAATTTGAGGCAGTAATAATTTCACATGTAATGCATTTTTTATTATGCCAATATGTGGAAGATTATACTTTTAATTAGAATATAATATAGTATATTACAGAGGAAAATTTTAATTTGGTTTGTCCCTTGTAGCAAAAGTGATATGAAATGCTAAAAAACTGCCAATTTATTGCTCTGTTTTTTATATCAGAACTTCAAGCTGGACCAAACTCGACGCAGACCTGTGGTTGGACCCGGTAGTTTGGGTTGAGTAATTGAAGGAATACCGAGGCACCTCACTATCATTTGTCCATTGCTCTATTTCTTACTCTCCTTGACTCATACTTCTGGCTGGAGTAGGCATCTTCAGCATCCCTTCCTTGCTTGGAACTTCTTGTAGGGGTTTTAGAGACTTTAACTAATAGTGGTTAACATCACATGTGGGTGACAAACCATTTTTCAAGTTATCTGAGCAACATTAGAGAAAACCTCTTTAGGCACTCTTATAGACTGGTCACTTCAGCATCCATTTTCTCCAATTTTGTTCCATTACAACAGCATATATAACCTTGGTTTCTTTGCTCTCACCTTCAAACTTTCTTCTTGCTAAGAGCTTCTTGTTTTGGCTTAGTTTCTTGACTTTATTTAGTTCTTCAATTTTTGTGTTGGTGGTGATTTCCTCCTTGTTACACATATAAGTTTTCTTTCACACAATAATATACGTCACAATGTAAGAGGCGCTTTCAACCAAATAATATGTGTGAAATTAGTGGGAACACTATCAATTTAAGTAGAACCTTCATATCGACCAGAAGTAGTAGATATTAAGCGACATTGATTTACTGGTATTGTGTGCAGCACGATGTTGTTGTGGGTGTGGTTTAGCATGAATTTGTAGGGGCTGGAACCACATTCATGCAATCTCCATCGTCAATGCCAGCTTACTCAACTCTTTGGTTCATGTCTTTAGTGCTTTAAAAATACTAAATCTCTTCCAAATATTCATCTTTAAACTTCAGGCAGTGAGTATGTGTTGGACCAGCATAGCAGGGGAACTATCCACGGCAGAATCTGCAATATTAGCATTGTGCTTCGTGCTATCTTTGCTTCCCTCTTTCCCGGCCTGGCCTTATTCAACTTAACTCTTCTTTTTTCTCCTTTTCGGGATTTAGGTTGGAAATTGATATGCCACATATACTATTTCTCTGCTCTTGAAGCAAGAATCCTTGACGTCATGCTTTCTTGAAGCGACCCTTTCCTTAAGCATCATTAGGAGGACTTAGCAGTTTGGTTTGCCATCATCGAAGGTATTGCTTAGCAGTTTGGTTTGGCATCATGAAGCCCTTTCATTGTGGTTTCACCGGCTTGAGAAGTAATTTTCTTGATGGTTGGCACCTATATTTTCTTGATGGTACTCCTTCATATCAAGGGCCTCTGGGGATGCATGCTTCACATTGTGATGGGTTGTGCAAGCAACTCTCTTCTTTATACAAAATCTCTGGTCAGATAGGGACCTAGTCAAAGTGTGACAAGGTTAAGGGCCTCTAGGGATGAATGTGTCACATTGTAATGCCTAATACAACTAGTTTTTTGTGTGGGCAAAGAGTTTGAGGGTCAGGTAGGAGACGTACCCAACCTTTGACGTCGTTCCATACAAAGTGATTGTTTTCAAGCTTGAACATGTATTTTCACACTAGCTAATCCAAGCTTTACCGTTGCAGAAGTAGTGGTACCGGCCCTCAAGCCAAAATGTGACTAGGATCTTTAATAATTTCTGTATGTCTTAACCTCATCAAACTTTGCATGTATTTCATCACTGTCGTATTTCCTCACTTGAAATTTAACAAGTTGTTTGCATAACTTGTCGTGTTAGTTGGGTTAAAAGAAGAAGTTTTGGGTTTTGACGTACACAAACTGAGATCCAAGAGCTATATTTATATACAAGAATAGGGTACAAAGAAAGGAAACCAAATCAAAGAAAAACAGGAAATATGCCAAAATTTACGTGATCTCATGATTATGGGGATCTTATCTACGTGATCCCATATAATAGGGATCTTACATAAAACACTCAATAAAAGGCTGAAAACAACTAATAAAAATAAAAATAATAGTAATACAGATATTTCAACACTCCCCTTCAAGCTGGAGTGAAGATATCAATCAAACCCAGCTTGGTAATTGAGGAATGAAACAAAGATGGACCAACGGATTTGGTGAACACATCTGCCGATTGATTAGAGGACCGAACAAAGCACGGCTTGATAATCCTCAAACGAACCTTCTCTTTGATAAAATGAATGTCCACCTCTATATGTTTAGTCCTTTCATGAAGAACAGAATCTGAAGCAAGCATAATGGCTGACTTATTATCACAAAACAAGTTTGAGGACTGTTTTTCACTTAGCCATAGTTTTTCTAAGAAAGATCGAAGCCAGAGAATCTTACAAGTACTCTGGGCCATGGCACGATACTCGGCCTCTGCTCAAGATCACGAAAGTACAAGTTGCTTCTTACTTTTCCAGGATATAAGATCTCCATAGAAAGTACAGAAGCCAGATGTGGAACATTTGCCAGTCTTGGACTCAGCATAGTCTGCATCACTGAAACAGGATAACCCAACCTGCCTACTAGAATAATAGAATAATCCAAGTCCAGGACAGGACTTACGATATCGAAGAATATGATATACCGCATCCATATGGGTTGTACGAGGAGCATGCATAAACTGACTCACAACACTAACAACAAAAGCCAAATTAGAACGGGTGTTGGTTAATGTGTTAAAATTTATACCACTCGCAATAGTACAAATCCTTTGCAGGATAAGGCTACTTAGAGTGTGTTGAACCTCAGGGACTATGGCGGTTTATCAAGTTTTCAATTAATACTGTTTTAATTTAGGAAAAGGATTTGTTTGTTGTGTGTTGTGATTCAATAACATAAACAAAATTAAACTAATTGAAAGATTGAGATCAGAGAGAGAGAGAATCTTAGGGATTGACTTCACCACGAACCTCATACTATGGTCAACTGTTCAACCTTAGGATTTCAACACTTATGTATAACTCGGAATTAAACTCAATAACATTCGTTTAATTCAATTTAAAGAAAAATGATTCATGAATTTCAGTTAATAATAACCTATCTTCGGTTGGCACGAATTATCTACCTACCTACTTCTAACTAATGTTGTAGTATAACTCGTCTTCCCTAAGCATAGACTATGAAAACATTTATTCACAAAAAACATTTGAACACCATTGCATGATCTCTATTCTTATTGTCCGAAAAGCCCTTAGCCGCCAATCTCACACAAGAAGAATAGGTTGAATATGGTTTTAGAAGAATCAAATCTAAGATAAGGTATTAATTTCTCAAAAATCAATTTATTTCATTAAAATCCCAATTGCTTAGAACATCTAAGTCAATTGCTCAAAATCATGCAATCACAATACATAAACAGTTGAAATCCCAAAGTATAGAACAATCAAACTATAGCAATCAGATTCAGGTTACATCAATGCCCTAAGAGAGGATTTAGCTACTCATGACGATGGAAGATATCATCTGTGTTGTCGTAGGCTTCATCATCATGAACTGCACTTCTCTTCTGAGGATCTTCACCTTCTGTGCTTCAGGAAAACTTCAGAAACCCTAAAAGCCGCCACTAGATCTAAAGAATAAAACTAGAAAGAAGAAGAGTGAACAAGAGAGCTTTTCTGTGGCCTTGTGCATCCTTTTATAGAAGCAACTGACTTTTATCAATGGCTCGACGGGCTTTAGGCCTTCTGGGGTCATCTGGGCCTGTCTGGGACTTATTAGGACTTAATTAGAATTAATCCCGCAATTAAAAAGTCTGACTGAAGAGGAAAGGCTCGAGCAGAAAAGCTTCTGCTCGAGCTTTTTGGCTTGTGCTCAAGCCTTTTAGATTGTGCTCGAGTAGGAATTCTATACTTAGCCATTTTTCTTCACTTTATTTCTGAAGCGTCTTTTTCATCAACACTTAGAATATTTTGGGACTTCTTCTTCAGGGGGCTCGAACACCTTGGCTTGGGTGCTCGAGCCTTTTGGATGGTGCTTGAGCATTTTGCATTCTACTCGAGCTCTGGCAATTTGGAACTTCCGAAGCGTCTTTTCATCTTCCGAGAGGATTTATGCTAGAGCCCTTTTGCGAAGGATTGAGCAACTTGGACTTCTGCTCGAGCAGGAAAATCTCTGCTCGAGCTTTTTTGCCTTGGTTGCTTTTCTTGCTTCAGTGAACCTTATGCTCGAGCTAGGAACTTTGTGCTTGAGCTTTTGCACTTGAACTTCTCCAAAATCACCATTTTAATTCCAAGCTTGCTTTAGATGATCGGGGACAACTCTGTAAGCCTCGATATCAATATTTAAGTCTCCAGCATCCCGATTTTATCATTTTATTCGGGAAAGTACTTACAAAAGCAAATAAACTAAAATCAATCTAAAACTGGATAAAAGTATCACTTAAGGTCTTAACATACGCACGTGTAGGGGCTCGAATATGCAATATTCAGCGCTCATCATTGGTAAGATAAATTAATCT